AGTGAATGCAAGCCTGACTGTTCAACTGTACATTCTAGAGCTACAGGCCATTTAGACGAATAATTTAAGAAATTTCATGAATTCATCATTTTACTGTTTGTTTATTTGATTGTTTGGGGTCTTCTGCTTGGTTGCTGTGTGACCAGCTCCAGTCATTATATTTTTACATCTCAACCATTATCTCAAAAGGGGCTAGTTTTTAAAAACTAAAACTTTCTCTGTGGGTCTCCTGTTCTCAGAGGTGGATAACAGCTCTGCAAATGCAGAAGAGCTTTTAACTGTACTATCCATTAACCCAGCATTCGCTGGGCCTGGTGGGATGGGTCAGGGAGAGCCTCTACGCTCTGTTGAAACAGTGAAACAAGGCTAAATACCAAGTAAATGACTGGGGTGAGGTGCTCATTCACTCAGGTGTGTGGTCACACATAAGAAGTGAGAGGGAAGGGGAGGGAACCCTGCCTTCACCTTCACCTTAAAACTGGAATAAGCCTAACTTTTTATGTCCAAAAAGTATCAAAGGACAGAGAGATGCAAGAAGGAAGGGAGAAAGAAGGGAAGGAAGGCAGGGAGGAAGGGAGGAAGGAAAGAAAGAGAGAGAGTGAAGGCAAGGAAGGGAGCACCAACTCAGAGTTCAGGACTTAATGTCCCACTAAAAGCTAAACAAATAAAAAGCATTTGCATGAACCTCATGAGGAATAAAGAAGAATACACAGCATTTTGTGCCTGTTTCCCAGCGATCTGTCAGAAAAGATCTTCCACAAACGAGGAATCTTTTCTCTCTTGGGTATGAGCTGCAGAGCAGAAAGTCTCCTGAGTGTATACACATTCTCTCTCTCTCTCTCTGTCTCTCTCTCTCTCTCTCTCTCTCACACACACACACACACACACACTCTCTTGGGGCCAGACTACATGCACAACTCATAGACATGGAGACTAATTGTTACTGGTGGACAGGAAAAAGATGCCAAATTAATGCACATTAGAAATCCTTCCCTACTTAATGAAGCCATCAGCAATTTCAGTTTCATTGTTCGTTTGTTAGTGTTTGTCTGTTTTTAAGAGCACTTAGCTAGTGGTTACTTCCCGGACCTCCATGGGTACTTCTTCCACTTTGTATGGTGTTTGTAAGCAAATATAATTGGAAATAAAATGGCTCCAAACATTTGCCCTCCAGATTTTTTTAAATTCTAAGGTTTAAAAAATAGCAAAGTTGCTTTCTTTTGCTTGAGATTTCAGCCTATTAGGTGCTCAGTCAAGGAGAGGAGCAGCGTTTTAACACAGGCACCATAGCCCCTCTTCTGGTGCTGGAGCCATTTCAGCTCTGAAGCAGTATTTTACATAACCCTGCAGGCAGCGCTGAGTCAAACTACCTGCCAAAGGTGATTGGTTATTGCCCAGCCTCTCTGTTTGCTACAGAGAGCATCCTGGATCCAGCTTCTGACACCTCCTCCTACTCCAGATCCTTCATTATGTAGATGAGGAAACAGAATTTCTAAGAGACTGAGAGACTCCATCCCGATCATCCAGATATCCAGCAATAGTTGGGTCAAAATCGAGAACACAGATCTGACTACCAGACAATGCTCTTCACTTAATTGTCCAAAAGCATGTTCCCCAATTAAGCGGAAACCATGCTGTAAACCAAAAGCAGCCTCTACCCCCAGATCAGTTAGGTCTTCTAATATTGACAAGACGGAATTGAAGAGGAGCACTGATGTCAGGATTCTATTTGGCATCTTGAGGCCACCCAGCGTGCAGTCAGCACACTGCATTGTTTCCTGTGTTATTGGTATGCACGCCTGTTCGCTCAGAGGCTGCGTTCTTCACCAGAGATGGACCGTGCCTTGTTCATTATTGTGCTTCCCCTCCTCCAGCTGCTTACCATAGATTTTGCAAATAATGAGCACTCGGTACATCTTTTTAAACATAAATGAGTGCCTAAAACACCCAACAGAACAGAGATGGCAAAGATGTACTATAGATTGAGAATGGGGGGGGGGGTAAAATAATCATCTGTATTTTCTGAAATAGAAACCTTAAGGGGGACAGCTGCTTACAAGTATAGAATTGCCAGGGAGTGGGTTCTAGACTCATGTACTTTTTTTTTGGAGCCCAGTCATTCAGGGATTCTTCACTCTTCACTTCTTAGGACATGTTACTGTCTTAATTGCAAGCTCCACAAACCTCTGATCAACAGTCTCTCCTAAGAGACCTGCACACGTGCAATCCCTTTGGAAAAGCTCAATCAGCCCTAATTGAGTCACAATACCAACCCAAATTAATTAGACTTTCAGAAAGTTGTCAACATCCTTCAAGATAACCTGGGCTGACTACTCCATAGCCTTCACAGGGGAGTACATGCTCAAATTCTAAAAGCTTGAAATTCTACCAGTGACTCCTGAATAAAGACCCCTTTCTTTTCAAAGACATTCACTCCCCAGGCTTTTTACTTCTATACTAAACAGAAATATAAACAGAACATCAGACTCCGAGAAGGATCACAAAACTTCAAAGCTCAAAAAGCATATTTCTGCAGTAGTTTTACAAAGAAGCAATCTGGTGTCAGCTTGTTGCTTTGTTTTTTAAGAAACAGGGTCTCACTCTGTCACCCAGGCTGGAGTACAGTGGTGTGATCATAGATCACTGCAGCCTCGACCTCCTGGGCTTTAGCAATCCTCCTGCCTCAGCCTCCCAAGTAGCTAGGACTGCAGGCATTCACCATCACACTCCACTAATTTTTTATTTTAGTAGAGATAGGGTCACTATGTTTCCCAAGCTGGCCCTGAACTCCTAAGCTCAAGTGATCCTGCCACCTCAGCCTCCTAGGTAGCTGGGAGTATAGGCACCTGCCACCACTTCCAGATAATTTGTTATGATTATTACTTTTTTAGAGATGGGGTGTTGCCATGTTGCCCAGGCTGGCCTTGAACCCCTGGCTTCAAGTGATCCTCCTACTTCAGCCTCTGAAATGCTGGAATTGTAGGTCTGAGCAACTGTACCTGTCAACTTGTAAATCCTTATCAGAGTCCCCATCTCAGAAAAGTGTCATTGCATTCCTGAAAACCAAAAGCATCCCTGACAGAAGCAGAACCAAGTGTCTTCAGATTTAAAAGTCATCAAATCAGACAAATAAAATTAAACTTCTTACATTTCTAGGTCTTGCTACTGCAGCAATCTAAATATACCCTAAGCTTCCTATCACTAATTTCAACACCATAAACTCTGACCATAATGGCTTAATATTAATAACTGGCAGCAAAATTTGTAATCTTATTCTCAAGGCACATTTATTTTGCGTTTGATAAATAAAAGTATCATTAAAAAAAACCCCACCATATCCTTACAAAAGATTCTTAAGTAGAGAATCTTTAAGTAGAGAACCCGAAATCAACTAAAGGTGTCTTCTTATTAAATTTCTCATATTCAGTGACAGGTAGCAAGCATCTCCATCCCCATTTTAGAATGAGGAAACAGCCTCAGGGACTTGAACTAAGTGAGTCAGTTGTGAGGCTAAAATAGAAACCAAACTTCAAGATGACCTTGAATGAAATCCAGCCAGAAAGAAGGCGAAAATTGGTAGTGACACTTGTTTAGCCTAATGTGACTCCAGAAAAAAAGTCAGAATAGCCTCATAAAAAAAAAATAGCATTACTGCAAATCCTAAATATTATTATACATTTGCCATTAACTTGGCAAATTCATCACATAAGCTTGCTGTTTGGGGTGTAGCCATATGTTACATATGCTATATCTATGCTGTCTTATTTTCCTTCCTAAGTGCAATCCACAGAAAACTAAAGTGACTATTTGTCTCACAAAACTGCTTGCTACAATATGTACTTATTCTTAGATTTTGCATTTCATTTTAAAATCTATTCAAACGTATTTATTAATCAGTGTATCCAGATCAGCAGCATGGTTGAAGGGAACTGCTCATCAAATTGAAAACAAAATCACTTCTAAAGACATCTGAAGACTGAGAGTTTCTGTCAAGACCACCCAACTACTTAGTAACAACGCTGAGTCAAAATCAAGAATGCAGGTCTGACCCCCACCCAGTGCCTTTCACTTAATTGTACCAAACCATTTTCTCCAAGTAAGTGGAAACACTACTCCAAACTAAAAGCAGCCCTCTGTTCCCAGATCACTTAGGGCTTCTAGTGTCACTGCGACATATTTAAGAGGAACAGGAAATGTCTGTTTGAAGCCTTCTTTCTCTTCGCAAAACCCCTCCCTCTTCCTCACCCCTCCTCTGCCATCTCCAGGTATTAAATGCCACTAGTTTCAAAGGCCATTGAATGTGAACTTGCACATAATGAGAAAAAGCAAGAGATGAAAAGTTTGGCTGACATCAAATTGCCCTCTCCACACCACAATATGCACAACTATTTCTGCCTTCGTGGGAAACAAAAGGCATTACAGACGAGGAAGGGAAAAATGGAGGAGGAAGTATAGCAGAAATTGTATTCCAGTAAAATGTATACTCAGTAAGAAATTGAGGGGTAAAATGCAGCTGGGATAGCAAACCCTCAAAACAAAAAGCAGCAATAAAACTCAAAAACTGTCAACTCAAGTGAATAATAAAATGCACAAAATATTCATTTGACTGATGCATAGCCCAAGACTCTCCCATAATCTGGGGGGAGGCCATTCAATTCTACAAATGAGATCTGGCTGGAACCTAGCTTCTCTCATTCCCAAATAAGCCCATCATTCCAAACCTCTAAGCTAAACTCTCTCTTGCTAAAACTGCTGAGAATACAAAGGCTTCTTGGGATCATACTTTGAACCCAGAAAACAGAAAAGAAGGCCCTCATCTCACTGCATTTAAATCATTCATTTTCTTTTCTATATGCTCCTCTAGGCAGGAGGCTCTGTGACAGCATGGCCCACAGAGGTCTGGAACACCTAGTACATACCTGGATCATCACAGGCCTTTGGTACATCTCTCACTAAATGGATGATTTGCCATGTCATGATATGACCTGAATTCTACTTACACTTATGAGAGAGAAGCACATCAAAGGAATCTGCCCACCTCGTAGCTTCTTCTGTGGATAATCTCCTAGAAAAAAAGAAACATCTGTCTTGAATGTTTCTGAAATAACCTCCTTGCCCTCAACAACCACTAAGATTTTCTCAAAAAAACAAATTGGAAAAATGTGGGGAGTGGATGGGGGGTGGCGGGTAGCAAATGAAATGAAGACTATACCTGGATTCCTGCAATTCTGTCGCTGTAAATTTGTACATTCTTAAGTAACTGATGAAAAAAAAAAACCTCAAGACTGGAATCCAGTGAATTTTGTCTGTTGACTTGTAGTCTAAAGAACAAAGCTAAGTAAGTCCATGATTTAAAGGTGTCGAGGTAACAATGGAAAGAAGCTGGTCTTAGAGTCAGAAAAGTTAGACTCAGCTCCTGACTCCATTCTTACTGTCACCTAAATGTCTGCACTCCTGAAATGGGGATAATGATGCCCATTACCTAGTTGTGTGAGGGTTACACAAGGTAACATCCATGACATTTAATACAGCACCAGCACAGAAGAGGTGCTGAATTCAGGTTACTTGAATCTAAGCATATTTTTAGAGTAAGTTTGAACATTTATTTCCAAATTGAGAGCTCAGATTGACAACTAAGTAGAACCCAGAAGTATCCTTTGCCACCCACAATTTTAAGAGTGATGGATGATACGGCTTTCTTAGGAAAAAAAAAGAGGATTCCCATTCTGAGATCACTAAGCTATACATTTTGAAAAGGAAAATAAACAATCCTTTCACTCATATCCAGTGATATAAAAGGAGCTGCCAAGAGACAGGATTTTTCCTGTGGCTCCTCTGGTCAGCAATTCACGAAAGAAGTGAGTTATATTACTCGCTGTATTACCCAGGGAATGGCACGTGGCCGTACTACTCACTTGAGAGCGCGGTTGGGTTTGTCTGGAAGAATAGCTGTGAAATCACTACACGAGTCTGACTTGTGAGACAGGCATCCCAGTCGAGTCCTCATCCCTTTGTTCCTGCAACAAGCACAGGGGCAGAAGGACGGGGAAACTCTCATGATCACAGCTGTCAGCTCTATACAGGGCCCCTGGAGCTGCTGCTACGGGAGCCAGCACTGCCCCCACCCTTCCCCAGGTGGTCTCTGAAGACTTCATGAACAGGAAGAGAACACCTAGAGAATCAATAACTACCTGAACAGTCATAGGTACCCTACGTGGCCCCCTAGAGGCTTAATGCTTTTTAAAGCTGACACGGCAAGTTGATGGTAAATCAATGAAGGTCATTAGCTTGGAAGAATTTCTAAATTAGGATTCTCTGTAGGGAAAGAAAATACAGTGATAACAAAATAACAATCCACATTTTGCTTTTCCACAAGGAGGGCAAAGTAACAGCAGCAGCAGCAGCAGCTCCTGATTGCAAAGACCCAGAAGGAGTACCCCACACCAGGAGCAGAGGAATGTTTGCAAGGTGCAGGGTGCATATCAGAGTCTTAAGCACAAAGTAGGGGGCCTCAAGGCAGGTCAGTTCCAACTCAAGTTCTCCCCACTCATCCCACAAATCTAGCTATAGTCAACCCATAGGATTGATGCTTGCAGGGGGAGAAGAGTAATTGGTACAATCAGCAATTAAGAACCAATGTCCCCTTTGTCAGTTCTTATGCTTGCCTAACTAAGCTCATGTATTCCTATTTACATTTAGGCTTATCTCAATAAGTATAATTAAATTTTTAACATGTATGTTTACATTTCTCATATGTTTTATTTCCCAAAGGACCCATATAATGACATCGGGCACTCAAATAGTTATCTCTTATAACAGATCCAGTGAGAAGTTACTCTAATGTCTCTTTCTGACTCCCAACATTAGCCTCCGTTTACCAGTTTATTTTTTTTATACGTTTAATTTTTTTTTTAGAGACAAGGTCGTGCTATATTACCCAGGCTGGTCTCAAGCTCCTGACCTCAAGTGATCTTCCTGCCTCAGCCTCCTGAGTAGCCCAAGCCACCATGCCCAACTAGCCTCTGTTAACCTTTAATCAGAGGTTGACAAACTGTAGCCCTGAAAAGATGCCTGTCTATGTAAATAAAACTTTATTGGAACATGACAACACCATTTGTTTACAAATTGTCTAAAGTTGCTTTCAACTACAAGGGCAGAGCTGGGTTGTTGCAACACAGACCATACGGCCCACAAACCCAAAAATATTTACTCTCTAGCCCTTGACAGAATAAGTTTGCTGACCCCTGACCTTTAACTATGACAACTCCTTGTGTTGAGGGCAAAGGTAAGTGGGATGGGTTTAGTGTAATCAAATCAGGACTTAAGAGTGACTTAGAAAAAGGAACTGCCGCTTGCACGTTCGCAACAATTTGCCACAGAAATAGTCCTAGAAGATGCCATTCTGCATGTTGAAAAGGAGTCATTCTGGCCTAGCTTTCTTTCCTCTTTTTCCTAGGGGTGGGAAGAGACCTTAGAGGTCATCCAATTCAATCTCTTTTACTTTAAATGGATTTTCATCCCTGGTAATTGTCTTCGTTCACAGAAATTTTATCCAAGAAATGTCTGCTGGGATGGTATTATATTTGGCAGGGATGGACAGCATTTGTATTCCACAGCACGTCTCTGAAGAGCCTCCTAGGGCTGGAACATCCAAGTTCCCAGAAATATCCTCTCTCCTGCAAAAAATTGGGCCTGCACGTCCCCTGCTCCCACCTTGAATCTCAGCCAGGCTGCGTTGTAAAGCCATCCGTTTCATGGCATTTCCAAACATTGGCTACTGCTATTCTCTCCTGCAACAGCAGGCATCTTATGTGTCCACTCGTGCTTGCAAATTGCAGGGTGTCTGACAGCACGCCATGCGAGCAGCTGATTAAGGGCCCTCGAGTCATCACATTCCATGAATTCAAGTAAAGGTCCTGCTCAGGCTGCCCCATAGGCCAAAGCCCAACTTTCAGTGAGTTGGTTCATTCCTCGTGCCTCAGGATCATCAATCATAAAACACTCAGGTCACTGCCCTCAAAGAGCAATCAAGAGGACTTTTGAAAAATGGCAAATCCACGCAAGCCATTTAACAAGGTTTAGCAGGGGCCAGTGTAAAGGATGCTACTTGTTACCAAGACAACTGTGATTCTCCCAAATAGTTTGCAAAAATCTTCAACAAAATATTCTTTAGGACAAAATGGTTTTATTTTTCATCTTTCCAGCTCAGACCTCAATTATAATCTTCTTAGCTAGGTCTGAAATAATGAGGTTAGAAGTAGGAGTCAAAGGTTAAGGATACTTTTTAAAAAATAACGAGGCTTTCCCTTGTCTGTCTCTTTTCTACAGCCCCTATCCAAGTAACTCACAGAGATCCCTAAATGGTTCCATACAAGCTCATGCACAGTCCCTCAACCCACCCCATAAGTCACTGCCAAGCTGTCTCACCAGTCAATGGGAGGGCTTCAGCTAAGGCAGTTCCTGCTTGCAAGGCCACAACTTTGCAAGAGGCATACAGACAAGAACCGTGCAGTTCACACAGGAGGCCTATGGGGACAGATGCAATTAGACCACGCATGGGCTAAGGAGGCTTGGGCCAGGCTCAAATAGCAGAGGGGGTGACAAGGTGGAGAAAAGAGGAAAGGGTCAGGGGCGAGAAAACAGGCCATTGATTCATTACCTGCGTGGCATCAGTAAGGCCGCCATACAGGCATCCGGTTACGGTTAACCCTTGGGCTGGTTTGCAGGGACGTCAGGGCAGCAAATAAGACTGCGGGGCGCAGGAATTTACCCTTGCACGTCCTCTCACCTAAAATCAAAGAATCTGCTGTAAGAGGGGCCACCCTCTCTCATCTGACTGCGCTACATTTCCTCTCAGACAGGTTTCCACCAGCGGAACACCTCCCCACACACATCCCCCCAGGCCCCACAAATGTCCACTTGTCCTTAGCGGGGGCGACAAACCAAGGATGGACAAGAACAAATTGTTGGTGGCTTCATGTTGTTGATTATTGGTTAGGCGTTCCTGATTCCCCAACCACTGGCCATCAAAAATAAAGTGGGACGTGTGCCTCAGGGGAGGCGTGGGCCTCGCAAACCAAAAATTACTGTTCTCTTTCTCTTACTAAAGTGGGGCCCAAGTGACCAGCCAGCGGGGTTGGAGGAGGGGGTCAGTACTTGCTCCAAAATAATCTGATTGGATGCTGCTCTGATTCTCGCCTCCCTCCAAGGGCACCTGTCCCAGGTGGGAGTGCGTGGAGACTCGGGAAAGTGGGAGTGGGAGGGAGGTTGGAGGAACTCCAAAAGAGGCTTGTCAGGCACCGTCGCCACACAGGCTTGCTCCTCTGCAGGGATCACAGGTGCAGGCTGAAGAAATGAATATGCAAGTCACCCTTTCTCGCCCATATGGAGCCTATATGACCTTCCTCAGTCTGGGGACTGGCCTATTCTTGACACAAAGCAGGAAGGACATGAGTGTGGGGAGACAGGGGTCATTGAGGTTGAAAGCTGATCGACTCACAGTCTTCCTCTCCTGAGGGTCCCATTCTCAGTGCTTCAAACCCTTTGTTCCTGCAGAAGACCTCTGATAGGAAGAAACACGTGAGGAGAGCAGCCTATCCATAAAGGGCTCCCCTGGGGAACTCTGACACCAAACATAGAACCCATTTTAAAAGAAACCTAATTTAGATAGATAAGACTCCTATGTCAGCTACATCATTTAAATTATTTTTATATTACCGTGACTATTTCACAAGCACTTTTTAAAAATAGCTTCTTTAATAATACTACAATTAATAAAATTAAAAGATTGCTTTGTGAAAACTAGAAAAAATAATTAGTTAGACTGTGTATGAGGGCCCATCGTCATGGATTGTGTTCCCTGGCTGCAGGGACATTTCCTTAATCTTTCTCCTAACCAGGCTTACACCTAGACCCCAGGAGTCATGAAGTCAAAGCTTTTGCAGCTGTGACGGTCCCTAGAAGTCATGTTTGGGGCACCTAGGCCTCTTGCTGTGGGATATGGCCTCAGGGGAAGGGGAAATCCATGCAGGGACCTTTATTATCCTAGAGCCAAGTGGAACCAGAGACGACTACCCACCTACATTGCAGGCAAGGTCATTTGGGGCAGGGGTTCACCCAGCCTTCTGTCCCCACCTTGTCTCTCTTCCCATCCCACTGCCAGCCCACACTAGCTTGCCCATGCTGTTCAGATGCCTGTCTCTCTCCTTCAAATCCTTCAAATCCAGCACTGCCCGAATTGCTGCTCAGACCCTCCACTACCCATTTGATGTGCTCAGTCACAGATGCCAGTAAATAAGAATCAGCAGGACACTCTGACCCAGCTGCCTTGCCCATCCCAGCACCTCAGGGCTTTTATTCCATTTGGCCCTGGACTTCTGAGAGTTAGAAGTTACCCAAAGCCCAGGAAGTTCAATGGTGTGATTGCCCACACAGTGCATGTGCCCTCATAGATGGGCATCAAGTCACAGGTGCGTCTGGGGCAGACAGGACGAGACATAATGGGAAGAGGGGATACTCAAGAAAAAACAAAGGTTAAAAGCAAAGAGCAAAGATTTATAAAGAGGGGGAGAGAAACTAGAGCCTCTGCGGGAAGAAAGCAATCAATATGCATGAAGAGGCAAGTTAATTAAATATGGATAATGCAATCGGTGCACACAGACACCCCGGAGAAGAAAGAGAAAAGCAAAGGCAATACTCACTGTCTTTGGCCAGTCCTCATGGCCTGAGGGTCTTTGCCAACTGGGTGGTCAGAGAGGCTGCGGGTTAAGGCGCTCTGGGGAAAAAGTAGATCTTTCTTTTAGCAGTCAAATCCTCGGCGAGTGAAGGGCATGTGTGCATGAACACATAGGCGCACACACACACATATACACACACAGGCATGCACAACACACCTCCCACCACTTGAGCCAGGCAGCAAGCGGCCCCGCTGAAAGCTCTTCTCTCTGCTTGTCACATCCAGTAAATACTGAAGCAGCCTACACCCAGCGGGCGGCGGCTCAGCTCCCGGGCACGGTCTGCACGCCCATCCTCATTGGCAGGATGCAGAAGGTGCCCCTGAGCCGAGCTCAGCCTCACTAACCTGAAGCTCCTCTGGTTGCAGCTCAGGGAGAAGTCCCCACAGCCCACAGCTGCCTCCCTCTGCACCCAGAGGCTGTGCGGGGGGCAGCAAAGAATAGGTATTAACTCTTTCCAGTCACCAGTGAGCTGAAAATCAAGTGTCCAGGGGGCCCTCTTCTAATGAGCCCTGCTGCTGGCTGAAGGTTGGCTGCTGCACTGGCAGTGGAGAGCGTAAAGATCTTGCCCCAGACAGCTGCTGACAGCAGGAGCCACTCCAAATCAAATCTCCTAATGAGTCAGGAGGAGGGGGGCTGTCTTGCTGGGTGTGATGTGATGTGATAAATGCAGAGAGCAAGAAAGCTACAGGGCAGGTCACACATCTAAATTCCACCCCCTTTCTCCAAATTTCTATTGTGCTGCACTACCAAGCCAAACCACACAGCCCTGAAATCGCCCTCTCTGCCACATCTCAGCTGTGCCCCTTACTCTACAGAGGCATTTCTCCCCCAGCTCATCTCCACTCCCACCCTAACCAGCACCAACCACACCACTCCCCACTTCCTAATGAGAAATTTCCACCTCCTCTGCCTTCCCAAACATGCTTATTTCCAACTCTATGCTCCTGCCTCTCACCTGGTTTTTCCTACAGTAGAAACTCACCTCTCTCCCTCATCCATCACCTAGCAACTTCCCCCTACTTGCATTTGTTATGGAGTGAGACTTTTTCCTTTGTTCTGCCCGATCTGCACATGATCCCTATTTTTCTGTCTTTTCCATTTTTTTTTCTTCCAAACCTCCTTACCCACATGGGTCTTCACACTGCCTTCTTCAGTTCCAGAAGGAGGACTCTCTTCCTGCTTGCCCTAGTGTAGTGGGTCTCCAAGCATGGTCCCTGGACCAGCAGCGTCAGCATCACCTGAGAAGTATCAGAAATGCAAATGTTCAGGCCCCACCCCTAGACCTACAGAATCAGAAACTCTGGGGACAGTAATCAGCCTTCCAGGTGACTCTGATGCATGCTAAAGTTTGCAAACTGCTGCCCTGGGAGAAAGCTTGTCTTCTCATTATGCTGTAGGTCCCTAAGGCTGAGTCTATACTCCCTCTCAGGAACTAGCTCTAAAGACACATAGCCTTAGCTGCAAACCATTTCTGAAACCCAGAAGGCAGCAGAAATCTCAACAGAAAGTGATGGCTTTATAATAATGGAAATGAATTCCATTTTTTCATCCTTTTTAAAAGTATAAAGCATTTTCATGTATTGTCACTCAACAATCCTATGCCATCGTCACAGAGGGTAGTATTATTATTCCCATGTTACAGATGAAAAAACGGAGGCCAGAAAAGGTGATGTACCTTTATCAAAGTGACGCAACGTGCCAGAGGAGGCACAAGGACCAGAAATTAAGCTTTATGACTCTAACAGCAGAGCTCTTTCTACTATATCATACCAGGACCCAGTCTTTCTGGGCAGATCTATTGGTGCATAACCTGAATTCTCTCAGTGAAATGATTCTGCCGCAACTACTCACTGCCTGATGATAAGATGAAATAAAAATTCTGATGCTGCCTCCACAGTGACTCATTGTCTCTTTCTGATATCGTCCACAGTGCCCCTCTATTAAAGAAAGGGAACTTTGTGTTATAAAATGAGAGGCAAAAGAAAAGTTTCTCATTTCTTATTACCCATTTCTTGAACCCTGTTGCTAATTGGGGTTTAGAACTTCAGCAGAAAGAGAACCCTTCATTTCTGGACATTTTCTTGGTACACTGCACCATAAGAAACTGGTACACAGATAAACTGATGAATAAAAGCCCATTGATAAGCACTCCCCTAATACAAGATATGTTTCTAGAATAACGTGAATCCACATAGCTAATGTTTAATGAGCAGTTAGTATGTGCCAGACACTATGCCAAACATTGCTTTGAGTTATCGATTTAATTTTCAGAACAAATTTACAAAGCCAACACCTTTATCACCCCTCTTTTACAGATGGAGAAACAGAGACACGTCATTTAAAAGTGGCAGAGCTAGTATCTAGCACCAAACCTGATGCTTCCAGCCTCTGCTCTGCTCCTCACTTTAACACAAACGTAGTGCCATCATAGGACACTTCCTACCAGCACTAAAACAGTAGAACAAAGGTCTCCTCCAAATCTCTTACTGCCCAGGCCACTATCCAGGGGGTAAAGGCCCTGAGGAAAGACAGCAGGGCTGCAAATGGGCCTGAGTCACAAGTGGAAGCCAATCAATATTAACCAGGCATCAGAATCTTCAATTAGCCTTTGGAGAAATAATATAGTCATAGGAAGTCAATAAGTCCAATGTTTAAAAAGAGCTATAGTAAACAAGAAAAATGTAAAAGAAGTAACAGGAATATAAAGAGCAGAAGGAAAAAAAGTGTGTGGACATGAGTAATACAAGGAAACAGAACATTAAAACTAGTCCAAACTTTCGTTCTTTTTTCTAAACAAAACACTCCTAAATGCCAAGGAGTAATCACAGAGGACCACAGTTTGAGAAGCACAGACCTAGCACAGGCCCCTCTCCCAAGAGGACACCAGCATAATCTTCCAAAGAGGCCAGTGCATAATTTCAAGGAGAATTAAGCTGAACCTAAAGTTAAGCATTCTAGCATTGTCTTCTTTCCTGAAATAAATAAACAGAAAAGGCAAGCAGGGTTAAGTGCTCGTGAGAAAGGAATTCATCACCTTGGACTCTGTAGTCCCCAGGCTTAGAGCTCTGCCCCAGGAATGTAGAGCTCTGGGTTCTTTTCCGGCTACTGCTCCTGACTTGCTAGGTGGAGTTGGCACAGGACATCTCAACTGGCCACAACTCACGTCTCTTACAGGAACACAGTGATTGCAAGCCCCGCTCCTGCCTCTGGGCTGTCCTGACCCCCTCTGCACTTCCCAGTCTATACTCACTTGCCTTGGGAAGCCCTGCCCTCTCCAGGCACCCACCACTCCTCTCCAGAATCAGTGCTTCAATCTTGCCTCTTCAGCTCTAGGCTGCTTTTCCAGAGGTTTGCTGGACAGCTCCTCACATCTCAGACCCTGCACGCTATACTGGCTCTAAATAGACCCTGCATGCCGTACTGTCTCTAAACAACTACCTTCCCACATCCTCCTTTTCTGCTGGGCTCCCTGTGTTTGCTTGTGACATTACTCTGCCCAAGTCCCACAAGGGACCCTAACCGTAACCCTAACCCCAACAAGTACAGACATTTCTGGCTTCTTTTTCTCCATTCCCCTTCCTAAATTGGTCTTTAAATCTTGTCATATTTTTGAAATATTTCTCAACTTCATTCCCTCCCATCCATTGATGTTGACATATAAGAGGTTATTCAACCCCCAGCACCTGCACAACCCCTGCCCTCTCTTAAATAACTGCTGTTGTTTCTTTCTCTGTCCGCCCACAAACCTTGCCCACTACACTACTGCTGGAGTACCACTGAACAGATACCATAAAGTGGATCATCTGTGCAATCATCTTTGATGGGCCCCAAATCTAATATCCAAATGACTCCTTGTTCTGCCTGACAATGAGTTTGTCCCGTTTGCCTATCCCAGTTTTCTATCCCACACATACGCATGATTCCTCTGCTGTCCCTTCTGCCCAGAATGTCCCCACCCTTGATCTGTCTGTTAACTCTCAGCTTCTTCCCTAAACCTATTACCTCAAGCAAAAATTCTCCTTTCCAAACCTTTTTCAGAATTCTCCCAATCAGAAGGAACCCCCTCCATCCCAATAGCACCACCTTGCTGTAAGGCTCTCTGACAGCCCACATCACAGGCATAGTTTATTCTTGAGATTTATGTTTTATGATCTTCTCAATTGACTGTGTGCTCCAAAAAGACAGACTCTTTTACTTACTGCCCTTACTATTAATTCTCATTGCCTTGCAGAGAGCAGGTGTTGAGTAAATGTCGGCTAAATTTGATTTCGAGTTCATGAAAAAAATCTGAAAAATCACAAGGATTCTTTATGGCAGAAACACGTTAGACTTCTGCAGCCTTCTGGTCAAGACAGAAGTCAACAGAATGCTAATGACACTCAGGGTCAGCTGCACAGGTACGTAAGGCATTTGCAAACTAACCCAATAGCCGGGTCAGAGCAGGGTGGAATTCATCAAGAGCAGAAGGAGCACCTGGCATTGTCACACAGGCCATGAGAATGTAATTAAATTGAAGATAAAGGGAGCTTAAATCTGCAATATAATATTTTAAAAAGCCACGAGAGTGGAAGAGGAGGTTTATTGCCAAATGCCCCTGTGTGTTTATCTAACCAACATACCACCTAGGATAATACCACATTTAAAGCTTTTAATAAAACAGTCATTTGGATATTAGATTTGAATTCTGGTCAGCATGCTAAAGCTCTTCCGTAAATCTTTTAAAAGCAATTTCCACCTCGTAGCTTCCTAGTAACAGTAGAAACATGAATCAACATATGCTGCATTGATTTAGGGTTTCCATGGAGACCGGAAGGACACAGGGAAGGGCAGGACAGAAGGAGGCCACTTGGCCCAAAATTCTACTTTAAAAAATGCATCTCGATCTCATTCCTCTGAGCATTAGCAGCCTCATTTCCTGTTCATCAGTTCAAGCATCCACATATTTAATTTGTAATAATGCTGCTCAGCTCCTCATAAGGAACATCAGAGGGGACACGGAGAAAAGTCAGCAGTTAAAGCTGTGTGCCCATGAGGTTTGCAAAGAAAACCAAGAAGTACAGGATTTGGAATCAGAAGAAAGGGCCTTTGGTACTAACTCTGCTATTAACTAGCTCCATGACACTAACTACTTCTACTAGCTCTGTGATCACCAACTAACATCACCAAGACATTTCAACTTCAATTTCCTCATCTGTAAAACACAAATTAACACACCTGCCCAGTCTATTTTTCAGGGTGATTATATGCAAAGAAATGAGAAAGTGTGTGGGGGAAATGCTCCGTAAATTCCAGTACATCACACCCTATTATTATATTTGAAGATGATTTTGGCTTCCCTTTAAATGGGATTTTGCCAGTGAGCAAGGAGATGAAAAAAAAAAAAAAAAAGAGATTCCTGATTTACTGCAGAGTAGACTGACTGGAAAAGAAAGTGTGGTGGATTTGACAGCCCTGAGCTTCAACCTCAACTCCATAATTTTCCAGATTAAGGGCAGATCCAGAATTGTGGGCAAACTACTCGCCCTCTCTGAGTATCATTTGTATCGTGGGTAAAATGAAGATAATAACAATAGCAATGTCATAGTCTTGTTATAAGGATTGAATTAGATAATGTAATGGAGTCTTCACCACAATTCTTGACAAATGTCAAATAGCTGTTCTGTGTGAGCCACTTTTATCATTATTCGTAGTCTTTTCAACTATATTTTATCATCTGTAAAATGGGAATTAAATTTCCTGGTACTTCCTCATTTTACGTAGAGGATTACTTAGATGTCTGTTCAGCTATTTAATAAGCTGTTTGGGGAAAGGTGCTATATAAATAGAATGTCATTATTTAAAGATTCATTTTTTGCCACCTGCTCACCAAGGTGAGACAAAAATGTATAAGATAGCACATCTGTAATGATTCTCGAGCTGCTCAGTGGCTGGGGGTTACGTAAGTCTCTGTTACCTTTCTCATTTCCTTTTGTTCCTCTTGAGCATTCATTGTCTCCTCACTGCTCACTGCAGGGTTTTCCTCTTGCCAGCCTCTTTTCTTTATTCACTATCTTTATACTCCCCCTTCTAAGTGTGTCTAGAAAGAAATTTCAAAGTTAAATTTTGGAGGCTTTGGTATCTAACCCTGCAATTCTTCCTTATGTCTCCTAAAATGAAATGGTATAGCAACAGCAAGGAAAATGAAACAAAATCAGGAGACGTTAGAGGATTACACAGTGTTCCCTCGCAGACAATGGCC